TCTGCACATGAGAGTAGTTTTAACCACTTGAAGACCTAGGGTTACAATCTGATCTTCATCAGCCCATGCAGAGTCCCACTGAAGGGGGACCCAGGTGACTCAGCTTGATAGTTCGAAGCTTAATTTACTTATACTGTATATGGTGTGTGTGTGTATATATATGTGTGTGTGTGTGTGTATATATGTATATATATGCATGTATGTATTCCACACACACCTATAAACATGCCTGTATATGTATGTGTATATATAGAGAGAGAGAGGGAGAGGCATTTTTATAGGTATGTGTGTACCAGGTCTAGTTTCTAAAAATATGTTTACTGAAGGAATTCCCTCATTTTCAGCCCCCTGGCATTTATATAAATACAGTAACATCCAAGAAAGAAGATTTCCCATTCTAGTGTAAATGCTCATCACCATGGTATCTTTTCAGTGCCTTCCAACAGTACATTACGAAATAGGACTAATACGTCACATACAGTTCTCTCCTCTCCCCAGCAGCAGAATGGATTCAGTGAAGTGTCTTGTTTCAGGTTTTTATTTTGTTTTTATACACAACTAACTGTTGATACTTATGTATGTTAAAGAAGGCAAGCTCAAAAATAGTATTGTCTTGTAGTTAAAGCAGGTGAGGAGGCTTTTGATAGTCCTCAGCTCCTGGGAGGACACCTTTTGCACACTCAAGACTTTTCCTTGAGAACATTCTGATGAGCTTTTCACCATTATGGCAAATTCCATTGTGCCACAGAAGCATAATTGCTGACCAAAGGTGCCTTACCAGCAGTTAAAGTGGTCTTGACATCCTAAGCCTAGGCCACCAAGGCCTTGAGCGTGATCTGATATTTCTCTAAGAAGACGGAGTAGTGTGTGAAGGACAATTTTGTTGTGTTCATTAAATATGCCTGTGTTGCCAGAGAGATTTGCTGCAGAATTCTTCACTAACAGGAATTTCCTAATTGCTGAATGCTTTATGCCCAGGTATCCCATTGCTGTAGTGAGTCCAAGAGGTAACAAAGGGCGCATCTACAGGTCATCATATGGTGATGTTGCTACAGCATAGTACTTCCAGTAGTACTGGTACTTCCTTTTGGAAGGTACTAAAGCATGGCACAGTACGGGTAGGCAGTTACTGTGCTGTGTGCATGGCGCACGGCTAAGTTTCGCTGCTGTCACCACAGCAGCATGCTATACCTGGGGAGTGCACCACTACGCTGACATAGCTGGTGATCACATGCAGATTTGTGATCGCTGCATCACCATACCATGTTGCTATATTGCCGTAGGGCGATGTGTAACCACACCCGAAGGCATGAATAACAGGTTCTGTTACAGTCAGCCTGGATGAGATGGAGTCTTCTAGCCAACTAGAGATAGTAGAAAGTGTATAAATTGTGTAACTACAGTTCCTGGGATTATTTATGTGGAATTCTGTAGCATATTTTTAAATACAGGTGATTAGAAACTGCTGCTAACATTTCAGAAGGTTCAAGGAGAAATGTTTATCCTGATCCTGCATTAACCTGCATACTGTAGTCCAGTGGGGGCCAGACTTTTTGGCAGGCATGCCACAAATTAGTCCCATGCTCTTCCCAAATGCCACTTAAATCTCCTTTCCATCTGATCTGCTGCTCTGCTTCCTGCTCCCTGCCTGGTCTTCTGTTCTGCTTTCTGCCCTATCTGCTGATGTGCTGCCCGTCCCCTCGCAAATCCACCGCGCACACAGAGGCTGTTCATGCAACTTGTGGCACGAGTGCTGCTGGTTGGCCACCTCTAGATGTGCACAGGTATTTGCAAGTCTGGAGAAGGCTACACTGAAATGAGGCATAATCATTTCATGTTCATTCAGAATTAAGCAGCCAAAATATAGATTTTCATCTTAATTTCCTTTGCCATTTCATAATTTAAGTGTCTGGCCTCCTTTTCTTTATTTAGAAATTTTGAAACTGAATGGACAATCCATATTCCATGACAAACTTTTATAGGGTGGGGTGGAACTGGGGAGAAACCTGGACTGTGTATTCCTATAAGTAAACAGTTATGTAACAGATGACACAGTTCAGATTGGGGTCACATTATGCTGGCTCTTGTACAAACACAGAAATGAGATAATCCCTGCCCTATAAATTTTATAATCTGAAAATATAAATAGCCAAAGAACTGGGAATGAAGGTACAGTGTACAGGCATATGAACATAGCAACAAAAAAAAAAGCAAAGTTTTGTTACTTATTGGGGTGACTTTCTTTTAACTGGGACAGAAGTAGGAAAGAAAGTTGCTATGTATACAAACTCTTTCTGCAATACAGGTATTAGAGGGATTCCTACCAACACGCTCTGCCAAAAATGGAGATTGCAGTTTTTCACAGAGTAGCATATATGCTGTAAATTTAGGCTTACCAGGAGCAGTTTTTCACAGAGTAGCATATATGCTGTAAATTTAGGCTTACCAGGAGCAGTTTTTCACAGAGTAGCATATATGCTGTAAATTTAGGCTTACCAGGAGCAGTTTTTCACAGAGTAGCATATATGCTGTAAATTTAGGCTTACCAGGAGCAGTTTTTCACAGAGTAGCATATATGCTGTAAATTTAGGCTTACCAGGAGCAGTTTTTCACAGAGTAGCATATATGCTGTAAATTTAGGCTTACCAGGAGCTTGTGGTTTCTCATGGTAACAAACATCAGTGTACATATTCGCATGCACTGGTTGGGAGCTTAGTGTGTTTCTGAGGTGCTGTACAGTGCATGGAAATGCAAAAAATGCTCACATGCACATTTCCATGTAGCATTTCCAATATTGTTCCTTTTGTCTTTCTGAGAACAAGTCATAAGATACAGGGAAGGAAGGACATAGTCCAGGTTTCTCCTCAGTCACAACCCCACTCCCACCACGCAGAAACGATGTTAAATTACCCCAAGCTTGATCATCACTTAATTCCCCAAAAATGTCAAAAGGAAATGTGGTTAATTGAGCCATTTCAAAATTACAGCTCTGAAGTGAAATCCTGACTACTTGAAGCCAGTGGGAGTTGTGTCGAGAGGGGTCAGGATTTCATCCTGGTGTTCTTTAAAAGAGCTAGTAATGACAGAACAGAAGATAACTATGAATTGCGCTTGCATCAGATTTACTTCTTAAAGCATACAAATAACTCATATTTTATGTGAAATCTTTTAGTTCACACCCAGCTTGAAGCTGGCACTGGGGGAAAACCAGTAGCCTTTTCCTGAGTTACTGTGTGGAAAATCTTTGTTTTGCAAGGAAGACCATAGGACTTGCCACTAAGGGCATTTATAGCCATACTCCATGAGGCAGGGGGGCTCCAATTAACGTGGCTACAAGAGCTGTGCTAATTAAAAGCCCCTGGAGCATCATAGGTATCAGTGTCCCTGTGCTGAAAAATAGCAGTGGGGTGCTTTGAACTAAAGCTCGTTGGAAGAGTAGGTTAGGTTACATAACCATGGTCAACTACCTGTATAGAAGGTTGATAATGCTTTACACATTTCCAAATAGCACTTTTCATCAATAGATCTGAAAATCTATACTGTTGTTTACATTCACAGAAGTTTTGGGCTGGAAGGGACCTTGTGAGATCATTGGGTCCAGTTCCCTTGCTCTGGGCAGGAAAGACTGCTGGGGTCAAACAACCCCAGCCAGGTGTGCATCTAGTCTCCTTTTGAAGATCTCCAAGGTAGGTACCACCCCTGCTGTGAGTCTATTCCAGAGCCTGGTCACATGAACCGTGAAGAAGTTTTTCCTTATGTCCAGTCTGAAACCTTCTAGGAGTTTAATTTTATTACAAAAATCTTGACAGATAAAGTCTGGCCTCTCAACACCAAATTCACTCCTAATATTGAAACAATTCAGATCTATGATCTGAAGTGACATTTACAATATATTGCTTGAACCTTAGCTTCATAACCTCTTTATGCATTGTGGGCAAAGTTCTCTCTAGTGTTATTTCCCCCTTTGACCACATTCATCAATGGCAGAAGTGTAGGATTATGGATGGGATAGAACTCTGCTTCAGTGTCCAATACCAGGAGCATACTTCATTTAATAGGTACATTTTTTCAATTAAGCATAATACCCGATTCCCCCTGACTTACCATGGTACAATCATTTGCACCAGTGAAATGTTCTGATTCGGGAATGTCCGTCACCCATTTTTGTGCTTACTTTGCACAGGTGTAAAAGGCTGTGTGAGGGCAAGACAGGCAGAATAATCAAGGTTGTGGACCTGGAGAAATGGAACTAGAGAGCAACAAAACAAGGAGGTTATCCCAGACCAAGCTGAGGGGTCACTTACAAAAATAACAGCTGGTTGTAGTGTCCAGCTCATGATGCAACTATGACATCTGTTCTATGTGACAAATGACTAACCTGAACTGCTGGTAGAGATTCCTTCAAAACAGACCTGTGATGTTAGATTAAAATGGATATTTTTACCGTGTTTTTTTTCTTTTGGCTGATATTAATGATTATGTTCCTGCCTCCTTTGTAAATGAGTTCCACCTTCTGTCCTGGGGAGGAGAGAAGTTTTTGAACTCTGAAAAACTAATGTGGAATTTTGTGGTAAAATTGCCTCCCTAAATTGGTAAATTTAGGGTTCTGTGTATGTCTGTGTTTAGGCTTCTCTCAGGATGAAGATGACCCAACTTTATAGTCTCCTTGTTTAATTTCCTAATACTAGAAGATGTTCAGGATAATCTTCAGTGATGAAGAATACAGAAAACGAGTAATCACAATATTTTTGTTTTGTTTTTGAGAGGGCCGACTAAACTGATTGAACATCGCACTTTTCCATACTATACAGTTAATATTAAAGATGCTTTTCTATTAGGCTGACCAATCTCTCTCTTTAATCGATCTCAGCCCCCATACTTCATTAAGGACTATCAATTATTTGCACCGAAAGCTTGTAAAGGATAAGCGCTAGTAAAGTTGCCGCAAACCTTGCTAAAACCAGTATCCTTGCCAGTTACTAAGCTAAATTACAGGGAAGTCAGAGGTGGAACTGAAATGTGGGTCTTTCTTGCATTCTGTCAGACAATGTAAGGGCCAACCTACACTACTAAAAAGACTGCTAGCCTACAGGCCCAAGCACTGTTTCTATAACATGATTAGAGAACCTTGTTTTCTTTGCTCATAGGCAATTTATGAAAAAACCTGTTATAACACGAGCATCCCTAATCATGTCAGACACCCATGTAGGTAGCGTGTTTTTTAAAAATTATATAGTCAGAGCCTAAGGGGGAACCTATGTTATCTCATGCCAGCAGACTTATAATGAAGCTGTTAGGGTTTCATGATTTCAGAGAGTAAAATGAAGATGGTAACTAGCATAAGGAGACATGTATGGAGTATAAATCTTTTTTTCCAGGCCAGACTAGGTTCTGTTGGGTCAATTTCACTTTTACTGATACTTTTTCTTGTTTTGATACAGCTGGGAAAACTGAGTACCAGAGAGCAAAAATTACTCTGCTTAGTGTAATAGATACCACAGGCTTCAGTGCAAAATGTTTATCCCATTTTAAACAATGCCACTCAAGTTTTCGTTAGTAACAACTAAAGGTGGAGACAAAAGTGCAGCTCCCAGGTCTAACTCATGGCGACTCACAGAAATCACCATGAGTTAGACTGATCCTCCTGATGGTGGAGGGTGGAGGATCAGCTCCAATCTGGAGCCAATCCAAGGAGAGAGGCTGTATCTTGGGTTATTTCAGCTCTGCGGGAGTGTGTGTGTGGGGTGGGGGGAGGTAGATTGGAGTCTTCCCCCCTCCCCCTTGAGGTGAGCGGTTTTCAGTCCACTGCCCCCCCACTCCTGTAGGACTGAGAAAACCCCAGAAGGGACCTCCCTTCCCTGCTGTCTCCCCCTCCTATCCAGAGACAGCAGCTTGAGCTGGGCTGCTCTTGCAGCGTAGCAGACAGAAATTAATGAAGTCACTCTATTTAGGAGAGGCTTCATTTGAACTCTCATACAATAAGGGTTAATTTGTTGCACAAATCAGAGGGCTCTGCAGCAGTGGTCTTCTGTTTGGGCATGGTTTTAGAGCAACTTCAAGGAGCCAATCATGAGACAAATGTCATTTCTGTCTGCGCCTTAAATCCCAGGTTCAGGAAAGGTACAGTATTACACAAGTACAGACTTGATGTCTTTATTCAAGTGTCTTTTTCATCAATAATAACTCCACTTCAAAATAATCACTTTAGCAATTTATCCATGTGATTTTTTTTTTCAAAGTCCCGCTCCCTTAAAAAAAAAAAAAAAGCTTCCTTATAGATATACATTCTTTTGTCGGTGCAGACCATATTAACAGTCTGGAAGTGTGTTTCTTTTTGTTGCTGCTATAGGACATAATTTGTTCAGTGAATGAAAAACTAAACAATCTAGGATAGCAGCAGATGAAAAGTACAATATGTGGTTTCCAGTCAGTCAGATGAGCTTCATCATTAATACCAAATGGAATACAAAACATTCACATTTCAGTTATTTAAGAAAAACTTGCATTAAATTCCAGGAAAAAAGTGTCTGATAATGAACCCAACACTTTAAAACCATATATATTACAAATTTGATTCAAATCCAGTATCAAGCCAGCAGCATCCTCTTCATTAGCAGTCGTCATTTTGCAACTCTAGCTTTGCAAGCTGGTTCTCAAATTTCTGGATATCTACTCGATGCTTCATTAAGAACTGCCCATTTAAATGAAAGACAGGGATGTCATATTTATATTTATCGTACCATGCTACGTTGTCTGGAAGAGTGATATCCACTTCCTGCAAAATTAACTTTGAAAGGAAAAAAACTAGATGTTACAAACTAGAGGAAATTAGACACTTTGTCATAACACTTTTGTCCGAAAGCAAAATTTGCTCCCAAGTCTGTCACATTTTCATTTGTCTGGATCTCTGCCCATTCACGTTGCATGCAAGTACATGTTTTCAGGGACAAATAGATGTGGTCATATACTTGGATTCTGTACTTCCTGGGCCCCAACATTATCCCCAGATCCACAGTGAGGAACCACCCAAGCACAATCTTGGTCATTCTCATTCTGCTGCTGGCACCCCAATGGGAGATTGTGGGGCCAGATAATATCCCACCCTGCTCAAGTCCCTGACAAAACCTTAAAGGGCCTATTTTTGTAATACCTCATCACCTTACCCTTAAACAGAAAGCAGGAGGGGGACCCACCCACCTTTTGTAGCAACTGTTTTTCAGAGGCTTAAGCAGGGTGGAATAGAAACAGACTTAAGCACATAGGCAGAATTGGAGGCTTAACAGGTGGAACAGGATCGGGCCTTTCATGTTAGCTTGTGGGTTCAGCAGCCAGGGGCTCAAAAACTGGTCAAAGTGCACTCCATGCGGATGCCAGAATATGGTCAAACAGCACAATGCAGAAATGTGACAGGAGGCTAAGCACATTTGAACTGCCACACAATCACTTTGCTGCAAACTGCATTGTAAGCCTCAGAAATATGTACGTATTATAGAAGCAGCTATTGTTAAAACTTCTGCAACACTGTATACACACTGGTTTACTTTCTAACATCTACTTGGGCCACAGAATCTGAAAATGCTTTTGGATAATGAGTTTTATGGAAATCAGTGCTGAAATTTTCTTGAAGAGGTTGTCCATGAAAGAACAATGGATACAAAGAAATCAAAGCAATTTCTTTTTACAAAGGAAGGATCCTGATTAACTATTCATTCCATATATAATATATACAGTATTGTATTACATTACCCTGTTTTTGTATGGCTCAAGCACTTCTTTTGCTTCATCACACAAAGGACATGGTTTCTAAAGGAAAATAGTCAGGTTAATTTTAAAAAGAAGCAGTAAAACATGAAGATTATTGTTCTATCACTTAACATACTAAGGAAAAAGCCACCACATCCAAATGTTGGCTCCTTGCCAATGACACATTGCTTTCAAAATATTTTTCCTCACCAGTGCAGTGTGAATTGAAATAGTCAATGATTTTTAAAAAAAATATATAATGTAAGCAATAAAGGGGACATTTTATTTGTTGGACAATTCATGCCTTTAGGATTTTTGTTGCCATTAATTTGTGATCACAATGAAAATATTTTTGAAATTCAAAATCTGATGCAGTGGTGCAGTTTTGAAGGCAAGCTATTGTCATGATCTAAGAGTTAATTCGACTGTGAGTTATGCTAAGGTATATCTGAAAAGCTGATTTCTATGAAGTCACTCCACATACACATCAGTATTCCTTGCAATGGATCTTGGGCTGCAGTAACGCAATATATGTAGGGAGGAAAAATGATAACTCTATCTTTCTGCCATGAAACATCTTCACAGTCAGATGATGCCGATTCCTTCTTTCTTTCCAAAGCTTTCTTAGGACTTTTCTATATAGGGATTTATTCTGAAATAGCTCTTCCCTATTACCTGATTCCCTGTATGGATATACTTATTCTGGAATAAGTTTGTCTATATGGAAGAGAATACATCAGGAACTACTGTCCCACTTTTAACTGCTGTACTTACTCAAATCCAAGGTAAGGTTTTATGATTTTCCAAAAGCTAATTGCTGTGGAGTCATTTTAAATACAAAGTTGACCTAGATTTGAGTAAATAGGGTAATACTCTTAATTCAAATTATGTTTCCCTTATAGACAAATATTGAATGTTTGAAACCTCATGCCAAGTGCTAAGGAACAAGCAGCTTGTGGTTTTCCTGTTTTTGTTTGTAACTTTTGAAAGAGCCGAAGAATGAGGGTGAGCCCAGGGTGTGTCTGGTCAGCCCGCCTCATTTACCCAAAATTATGCTCCATGTAATGGAGAGGATGCTGTAAACTAAAGCCAGGACATTCTAGAATCTATTGGTTTTCTCAGCTAGTTTTGCAGGAAGTCCTAAGGCAGCAAAATGGGCCAGATAAGCTGGTAAGTGCAAAAAGCCAGATAAAGCAGCAGCACTTCTCCCTTACTTAGGGCACATATTAGCAGGCAAGCTGCCACGGTGTATCTGGCACTGGTTTAAAATCAGCTTTAGTTAAACGTGCAGCTTTGGGTGCAGTTATTTTTATCAGCGTAGACCTGTTTAGCCTGTATGCTACCAGGCACAAGCTAAAATAACAACTGGGCTTCAACTGGCATAAAAGCATCTGCACACACAGCACCACCAGTCTAGATATCCAATTCAGAATTGCACCTCTAGGTAAACCGAGACAGCCGTTCGTGTCAACCCCGCCTTCCGCTCTCTTGTTTGTCTGTTTGCTTTCTTTCTTTAAATTCACACCTTTCAGTCAGTGTTCAAATCTGCCTCTGGATACTTACTTTAAATGTTTTCTGATTGAACTAAAATTCAGCAAGGCAAACTTGCATTGAGGTAAGTAAGTAAGGGAGAGAATTAAAAACTACTTAGTTATTTTAGTTCAAGCTTGTGTGCATAAGCCCCGTACAACAAAGCAAGT